TATTTACACTCGTGCTGCTGTAAATTACACCGGCGATATTACAACAGCACCGAGAAGCTACGCTGTAGATGGCTGCCGATGATATAGGAATAAATGGCATTTGACTCGTTACCGAGAAATCATGCACACGGTTGCAGTGTTAATCGAATCGTTGTATTATACGATGTCAACTTGGCAGTTAATTACGACGTCGAGTGTCGTTTCGATGTTACGACCCCTGTAACTGTCAGGGTTGAAAGTTCCGTAATGATCTCGTAACATTCAAATTCGAGCTATCTTTTTTTTTCGATTTATCATACTTGAAAAATATATACAAGTTGTCGAAAGTATCTGGCCAATGAATAATTGATTATATTGCTCAAGTACCTACATTGTAAAAAAAAAATATGTAAAATTACATAAATATGTAAAAAAATCACAATTTATAGTAAAAATGTAAAATTGTGCATTTTTATAAAAATTCGTACTTTTATCTCTAATTGTGTAAATATATCTTTATATTAAACGGAAAATTTTATTAACAATAATATATTTTACAATTTATAACATATTTGCATTTTTATGTTCGTACATATTAATAACATAATTTAAAAAAAATAGTTCTGCAAATTAATATGCATGTATATGAATATTTCTATAAACTTAACCTCAAGTATGTGTAAGTTTATTTTTGAGCAAACATGAGATATGAGAACAAGAGAACAAAAGAATAGTTATAACGAATAGACGAAAGGAAAGAAGATAATGGTTTAACAGCTGGTTTTTCCATCGCAGCGATAATTTGCGAGTAGAAGTCACGTTTGCAACGTGAAAGTCAAGCATCTTCGTCTTCTCATTCATACATTGTCGAATCATTCCTTCCCTTAAGGCACTTCGATTGACACCTCCTCTTTCCTCATCTTCGAAACAAAATGCATTTTCAAAATGCATACCCCCTTAGATTTTAATACGACGACACAATTAACGTTTATGATATGATGAGATAACATCTAGAATAAGACATGTAAGGTATATAGCGAGATATACGATAATAAAATAATACATGTAGAAAACAGAGGAAGAAGATGATAATTATCTTTTCATTATATATCAGCTTAACCTGTTTTACGCTTCAATTTCGTATATCATTCTTGGGGAGATAAATGCACATTAAGTGGAAAATACGCAGGGCTTTAAAATAAGGGCAATCACAAAAAAATAAGTAGATATTAATAAACACTTTTATCATCATAATCTATACATTTTGACAGTATAGAAGGTACATTAAGAATGTGCGCATCTATCACAGAAATGAAAGCTTTGATTGAATGTATCTATTATAGAAATAGAAGCTGAGTTTTGATTTTTAAATATCTTGGAAATGTATTGTTTAGTTTTAGCAAGAAAAGTTTTTAATTCTTTAAAATTCAAAAGTTTTAAAATTTAAAAATTTAAAGGAAATACTAATGTTCAAAATCTTTTACTGCGTCTTTATAATTTTATGTTTTATTTATATTTTCTATTATTATTACTACATTCGATTTGAATGCTTTCAACACTTTTAGTGCTTCGATTCTTTAGCGACGTCTACAAAATCTCAATGATTTAAAAACTGACGAATCATAATCGATTGTTCTCCTTATTATATTCGACTGTGATTGGTCAATTTCCTACTATTTAAAATTCCACAACTGCTTACGATTCCTATTGTAGACTTGATATAAGTCTAGATAAACTTATTGTTTCATTAGTCTAATTGTAAGTCCACAACCTTGCTTTAAGCCGATATTCAAAAAATAATTAATCAAATTTCTTATGGCTTTACGACTTACGATCTCTTAAAGCAAGGTTGTGGACTTACAATTAGATTAATGAAACAATAAAAACAGAATAATCATTATAAGCGCTTAAAGCGCTTGAGTGTCCAAATCAAACGCAGTCTATTTTTTAAGTTTCTCATAGATTTAAATTCTATTTTTCCGTAACTCAAGAGACGTATTAATTTTTTGTTTGAAAAGCTTGTTCGCGCTCGAATTAACGAGCACATAAGCCTACCGATTGATCACCTCTCGCAGCAAAGTCGAGATGAAAGCTCGAAGTCGGCGTTCGTCCTGCATTCGCTTGGACATCGCAGTGTCGATACCTTACGGGCTGATGGTGAACTTCGTGTACTTTCATCGACCAAGACACACAAAAAATATTCACGATCGCAGAAAATAGTAACATAACGTTATCTACACATATTGTAATTCATTAATGATTATTTACCATAATCTATATAGCATGCATTATTTATCATCTTATTCGCTTTATGAGTTTAATTATATTAGGTGTTGGAATTAATTCGTAGCGTTTTACAAGTGATGGGAAGTACTTTCATTAATGTATTTTTTAATGCTCATGTGAAATAAATAACATTCTTTCATTAAAAAACGCTACGAATTAATTCCAACACCTAATATCTTTTATTAATTTATATAATATTAATGCGACACTTGTCTAAACAATTAAAAAATTGTTTCCAAAATAAAGAATAGCACATTTTTTTTTCATTGTTATAAATAACAAAAATTTGAAGACGTTAAACGTTATCGATGCAAGAACAATATAAACCTAAATACCACACTTATATAATATTCATTATGAAATAGGTGTAACGCAATCGATATTATAAGTGAAAAACTCAAAGCAAATTAAATTCACTTTTGGTCTCGGAATTGCTACATCGATTCGCAGGTTTTCGCGAAAAGCGGATGCTCATTGTCTTCATTGATGTGATCATTTGCGCGACGAGAGAGCTATCACGTAAGAATTATATCTTACGACATACGCAACCACGTTGCATAAAGATGTAACGAGTGTGACATGCGATCAATGAGACGGGTAATAAACTCTCTAGTTACGGCTGTCACTCAATTGTGGAAGAATTCTACTTCGTTTGTCATTGTTCAAATGTAAATTCCTCGCATACTTTCACCGCCATGTTCTATAACAATAATGCAATCGTAATATTTCCTTACAATAATCTGTCGTTTTTAGGGAGAGAAACAACTTCCTGAAAGTTTACTTACCGATCAGTTTTTGTTTTTAAATTTAATGATTTCAGAAAAAGTCTGTCATAACAAATTCACGACAAAAAACGTATAAAACAAATCTAAAATGTTTAAACACTATTAAATAAATATTACAAGATTTCTAAAAAAAGGAATAGTTTTTATGAAATTTCACTCGAAATTTTTGATTTATTTGGAAATGTCGAACAGTTACAGTTCGAATGGTTAGTTTTCGTTGAAGTTTGATTTCGTTCGTTTAAATTATTCGCGTTGCTACAGGCGAGGGATAATTAGTGGAGCATTAGTATGATTGACGTTATTATTTTCACACTGTACGATTCTCACGGCACGCGACGGTGAAGCGTATACTGTAAAGTAGAAAAAGCGGTAAACTTCACTACGTTGCACTACGATATTCCGCATCACCCTTATTGTTGCCACGTTAAATGTCAAGATGTTCTCTTGATCGGGAAAGTTCTGGATTAACGATGATTCGTGTAATTACAAAATCGATGTTCATCGCTTGTATACAATTACAAAATCATTATATTACTGTGCACCGTAATATTGACAGTTATACTATATTCGATTCAATAATCAAGTTCATTTGTTAATAGATACCAGCAAATGCTAAAAATAATTGATATGCAAAGAACAATTTGTTGTTGATAGATCTTGACACAAATGTAAACGTCTATAAAATAATAAGATATCTGATATGCTGTAAAAAGACATACTTTCCAATAATAAAGGTCTTTATTTATTCTTTTGATGCGCCTTATGAGCGCAAATATATTTTTCTAAAAACACACATTCAACATAGCATTTAATTACCGCGTATTCAGTCGTTTTAATTAGAAATTTTTTCAGATTAATATATTAATTGATACATAACATAAAAAACATTTTATACTCTTATATTTTGCTTGTTAAAATTTTTGTATTAAATATTTTGACACAACTCTGAGTGTTAATTTAACTGATGTAACATAATGTAACACGTAAAATGTTTTTAATTTAGCACAATTTTCTAACTGTATAATAAAAATGCTGTTTTCTGTGTCACTTGAATCCTATGTCGAAATCGGCATTGAAATCTCTGTCGATGAGATCTTTAGTGAGAAATGTATCTCGCGGACGCAGACATCCTTGGGATGAAAATACAAGAGCGTCTCGCACTGCAAAATTACGTCTCTGAAAATCAAGGGCGTTTTGAGTGGTCAAGGGCTTCGATTGATGCTGCGTTATGCTTGCATGTCTGTCTTTAAGCAATGTCGAGGTAAAATTATTTATCATTAATTGCAATATGTATCTTATAAGGCAATGTATAATTTCTTGGCTGAATTTTTTAGGCTAAGAAATAATAATAAAACTATTACAATACACAATCAATCTTATACGCATCTTCAATCCTTTATAATAATTATTAATATTAAAAATAATAAGTCATAAAAGAAAATTATATTTTAATTATATCAGAACATTATTTATATTTGCATGAAAAAAATTCAAAATATTTATTTATTATAAAATAAAATGAAGAAACACAAACAAATAACGTATTAAGAAGCAAATAATAGTACTGAAAGAAGAACAGAAAAATTCAGTTTATATATTCCAACGTATTAACATATTCGAAAGTTAAAAAAGTGTACGTAATAATACTGAATTATTCCGTGCAGTAATTTAAACCTGCGTATTTCGTGATAACTCACGCATTTATTTAAACGTGAATGTAATCATCGATCGTTATCAGTATTTTCGCATTACGGCTCACTGTAATATGAAGTTACGTGATGAATAAAAATTGGAAGAGAGCCCGGGAAATGCAATAGAAATTTTCAATGTCTTTGTAAGGAGAACTCGCGTGTTGAAGTTGAGGCGGAGGTCGGGCCCATGGGCGGGCCCTGCCGCTCCCGAAGGGGACCTATATAAGTAGACTCACTCGGCGTACAACGCGATCCCATAACACAATCACTTCTGCTTCATCACCAACCAGACATGCGTCCTCCTGTAAGTATTCCTCTTTCTTCCTTTTTCTTTTCTGTCTCAATCATTTATAAACGTTGACATAACAGAAATCACTTTATATTCGTGGCTAAATTTAATTCCGATAATTGGGACACGTAAAAATGTTTTTGTGCAACGCTATAATGTGCTTTAATTAGCGTGAAAGATTGGAATAAATTGGAATGTATAAAAGTGAACATTTTTTTTCTGTGAATACCAGAATGGATTTTATAAAGATGTGTTATATTATGATGTGCGTGAATTATTAGCACGAAGTATCGAAGTAGATTGAAATTCAAGAGTGAATAAGAGTGAAATTTTTTATTTCGTAATTATTAAATTAACTTTGTAAGAATTACATCAATTTGAGTGAAAAAGCAACATGTATAAGCATCTTATAATTATATAAAATATGTTATTGTAAATTTTTTTTTAAATATATCTTTTATAGACAGAAAAATTATAATAATCATGTTTATGATTATTACAATGGATTCGAGAATGTGTGTGTGTAATTATGTTTCAATGATTATCGATTCAATTGTCATACAACCACTATTTGCATTTTTTTAAATAAAGAAACAAGTATTAACAAATGCTAAATTTTACATAATTGTTCATTCAATTTAAAAAATCCGCGAAAAAATTACTATAATAGCGCATTGTCTTCGCGCCATCTTGCCATCAACTTTCCTCGAATACGCGTACGAGGCCATTGGAAAGTGTTCCGAATACCAACGTTTTTATGCAAATTCATGTCACCAGGTGCTGTTTCTCTTGTTTTGTCTTGGCCTTGCGGTCGCCCAGCACAATCAACCGTATCATGTGACTACACCAGTACCTATCTTAAAACAAATAAATAAGTGAGTGCCGGATTAGCATTATGTAATCGAATAAAAGCGACGCGACGCAATAGAATACCTTTGAATTTTTTTCTGTATAAAAGTTACTATAATATTTTTTTAAATTTTTGTGCCAAACTTTATTATTTTATTTTTATAAATCTGGCAAATGTGTTCTGAAAAACGATTTGTAGAATATAAACTGACATTAATTTTCAGACACAACGAGGATGGTAGTTACAGTTACGGTTTCGAGGCGGCGGACGGCTCGTACAAAATTGAGTCCAAGTATCCGAATGGCGAGATTTACGGCAAATACGGCTTCGTCGATGACACCGGGAACGTGCGTGAGGTCGAATATGGCGCGTCCAAACGTGGTTTCGAGCCAGTCGGTGCTGGGATAAACGTGCCCCCGCCAACCTTGACCGGTAACAGCATCGCCAGAAACGCGAATGAGCCCGATGACGATGGACAGTACCGCGAGGATCCGTCGATCTATCACACCGATCCACGTTTCACCAATGGAGAACGTTATGAAGTGCCACTCAAGTACAGACAACAACCGATCGCCTACAATCCGCCGCAACGGATTGCGCCGGCTGCTTATAATCAAAAGTGAGTCGCGATAAACTTTAGCAATTAACTGTAGACTATCTCAAAAATGTCTGTCTTAACGCGGAATAGAATATAATAAATTTTGCCTTTGTAATTGTCGATATCATAATTATTATAATACTAACAAATTTGAAGCGTATTTCGAAATTTGACATAAAGATTAATCATTTCTATTGAAAATTTGCCAATTAGGAATTATGTGACTTATGCATAAAAATTCTTAATATTGCTTTACGTGGCTTCTGTATTAAATTTCTCGGTATTGTATTTGATAGATTATGGAGTATGTTAATTTTTATTCGGTTGAATCAGTCAGATTAAAATGGATATAGGAAGATCGGCTCACCGTGGAGAACGCAAAGAGATAACGAGCGGGTTAAATGTCAAGTGAATCACTCGAAAGTACTGAAATCGTGACTTGCTCAACTTAGCGGGAAATCGGTCGCACCTCTACGCTTCTACGGGAATGGGAAAGGAATCGGATAAACCAATTTTTCAAATTTTCAGATACAAAACCCCCGTCAATTACCGACCAGCAGCAGTGAAGTCGCGGTTCCAACCGGAATATCGACCGCAATATCGATCGCAGTACGAATCGCAGTATCAAGGTCAGCAACTGCAATCCGTATACCCTTCGCCTACGATTCCAGCCGGTCTTGAAGGACATAGCGCGACCAACATCGATATCAATGCCGGATTGGCATCTTACACGGTTAATTACAAATGATAAAGAAAGAGGACGAAAAGAGAAAGGGAGTCCAGCAATCTAATGTATAGGATTGCATGTGTATATACATTATTTATAGATATTCTGAGATCATTACTGAGCATTTATTTCATTATTGCATGTCAAACTGTTAATGTCGCCGTTGAAATATTTTTGACATACTGATTTAGTGATAATTTAGTGGTAAGGTTGCATCACAGTATAAGCACTTCTGATCAGTCTACATATATTTTAGATCGTATCTGCCTTCTGTCTCGAATTTCGAATGAGACAGTATTTTCTACCTCTTGTTCTCCGACGTTTCCTCTTTCGCTTCAGGAGAGTCTCCACCTTCTTCACTAGAAAATTATATTTTTTCCATGATTTACTTATTCTTAAGCTTAATTTTAACTTACACGTATCTCTTCATTCTTTTCATTTAGTAATGACGCATATTAATATTTAATTGCCCTTGGCAGTGGCTGGGTTACTCGAGATTTGATAGATATTCTTTGTGTCCTCGAAAATATTCATTGAATATTTATTAGTTCTTGATTACTCGTACATCTCTTTTACATCACAAAAGTGTGAAAAAATCAGATTTAAATATTGTTGCTTCTTTCCTATTGTTTTATATACTACTATAGGTATATATTTAGATATATGGTACATAAAAGAGTGATTTTCTAATTATCCAATAGGATATCAATCAAAAATAATCCACAGTCCTTCGAATGGTAAATCTTTCGAGGATTAATATGTGTGGAATTAATTTACATGATATCCGCAGTCTTTATCTGAAAAATCTAAAATACGCGTTATACTTGCAAATAATTTAAGATCGTTGTCCAAATGTTAATTCATACTTAAGTGTATAATATGTAATCATATGTAACAAAAAAATATTATACAATGTTGCGTCAATTAAAATAAGATACAATCGCAAGATTAATAGCAATGATTTTATCTGAAGAATGTGTCGAATTGACTTGGATCGATTATATGTCCGTTTCAAATAATATAAATTAACTTTAATTCTAATTCAACTCTTCATCTTTCTCTAGTTTTAAGAATTAGAAAAAGATGAAAAGTAAATTGAACTAAGATTAACGTCAATCTACATTGATGGAAACAGGTAATTATACTAATCAATATATAGGGTGTTCCAGGAAGAAAGATCAATATTCTCAAACATGATGGTATCAGTTATTTTAAGTAAAAGTGTTCGTATGAACATATATTCTATTTCAAACAGTTCATGCATTCATTGATATTAATAATGGAATATTAAAAAATTTATTATATTAAATTTTAAAAAATGTGTCACTTGAACAATGAATTAAAAAAATCTCTTTCTTAACAAGCTTCTTGATTTTAATTCATTCAATCTCGGAAACTGTTCGAAATAAAATACACATTCATGTACGAATATTTTTACTCAAAATGACTGATACCATCATTTCCAAAAATATTGACTTTTCCTTTTGGAACACCTTGTATCGAACAATCTAATCAATATACTTGTCGACAAATTCAAGTCACGTGTGCAAATATATGCTAGTAATGGAGATTCCTAGGTCTCTATTTGATGGTTGAAAACGTAATTAACATTTTTTTCCCAGCATAGTACGAAGAACGCCATCAAACTACATCGGGACACACCCAAGAATTTTATCGTTGAGTAACTTCTAAGGTCTTAATGTTACCTTCGCACTCGGCGACTTACCTTTCCGAATGCACGTACAATAAAAATTCATGTGCACTGCGGCGGATCGGATTCGCCATTCGATCTTTTCTCCGCATTCCTTTGAATTTTCCCCACAGTCCTTATTTCTCACACATTTCTCATTATTCGTATTGGATACTAGCCTATTTTTGCGTTCATTACAATAAAAATATAATGGCATACATTTTACGTTTGCGAATTGTGCTTTAATGATAAATATAAACATTATTTAATTACAAAGAGATAATTAGAATTTAAAAGTTTATTTTATTATACTGCTTTTATTTTACGATAAAAATCGCAAAACTACATTTTAATTAAACTAAGTCAAAAAAACAAAACTTTAATTAAAATGTTTTCAATTGCTGATGGAATGATATAAAAAAAAATTCTTTTGAAAATGATAATTTAATTTAGATACATAAAAACATGATCTTAATTTTGTGATATAAGAAAGATATAATATATTCAGTAAAATACAACATATTGCCTTTTTTTTGTATTCCATCATTCTTTCATGATAATGATTCAATAACTGAATTCTTACGTGGACATAAGGAACAGTTGGCTCGTGTCAGTATCGTGTTTCAGCTTCTGGTTTAGAATCCTAATCTCCGCACGCATGGGATTTACACGTCGCGCATACCTGATACGTGGAGAGTAACGGACCACCGCCCAAGTCCACCTTTCACAATATAATCCACTATCTACTCGATTCCGCCGCGAGATCAGCGTCTACCACTCAATCGAGCGAACTCATGTTTATCGAAGCATCAGTTCTACGAGAGAAAAATTCAATACGGCTCTTTCTAGACTTCCGTAAACGCAATAGAATCGTTAAGAGATCACGTTAATTATTAAGATAATAAGATTAATAAGTTCGTAGATACACATGATTAGGAAAACTAATAAAGACAAATGAAATACGAGTAAGAATATTAAATAATTATAATAAAGTATTCGCGCTTGGCGCGTCAAAAAAAATAAATTTATTTATTTATCGTTAATATTTATCGTATATTTAATTTTGCGTAATATCGAACGCCAATTAATTATCATGATGCATTGCAAACGCATAAAACTCATATACTTTTTGTAATGATATTTTAAAAAAGCTATTCTTACATATAAAAAAGAAAGTGCGCGCAAACGTTACATTTGATGACTTGTCGATACTGGCGATCGAGTTTTCATTCCTCCTTGTCTTCGATGTATTTTATCGCTGTGCGACACGCGTGCATGCAATACTGCGATTCCGCGTTCACTCTTAAGACATTCTGATGCAAGGCGTGGTACGACGGACCGGTGCGCCAGATATCAGCAGAACTTGCTTTCCTTTATTGGCGTAATGAACACGTATAACTTTCCTCTTTTTGTCGCAGCTACATAATTACAAAGTAAGTCGATTCGCGCCAAGTTAACTCAAAAGTCATTTGTACCTCCTATTAAAACGCGATATAATATTACATTAAAATAACTACTGCTTTTTTTTAACATTTTTATTTATTTAATTATTTTATTTATTTGTTTATTTATTTATTAAATTTCCTTTCTTTAATTTTCAATTCATACTACGCTACAGTTTATTGAAACATGTTATGAACATGTTATTGCAACGAACGACTGAATAAAAAAATTAACGTTCGTTTCGCCATAACATGTACCACTAATTATTATTCATGCAACCAAATAATTCACATACGTGACTCTTAATATTAATAATTACAATTGAACAATATTTTTTTATTTGCTCGTGAATAATTCACACGTTAAAAATCTATAATAAAATTTAACACGAAGCTGTTTATTAATATAAATGTAGGAAATGTCATATTTTCTTTATGAAATTCTTTTTTATATTCCTTTAATATATACCGTAATATATTAACATATATCATGGCATGTTGATTTTTAACATTGAGTTTGTTATAATATAGGTAACTCTTCGTAGATCTACTTAATTTTATTAATATATGTGTTGGTAATACAATAAAAATTACAATTTAGTTCTACTTGATTAACATTTGTTATAATGCATATTTCAATGTAAAAAAAATAATTTTTAAGAAAATTACTTCTAAGAATGTTTTAGTTTTTAATGCTATATCTGCATCTTGACTAAATATAATAATTGGTACATAATCAAATAATAAATAATTTATATGTAATTGTGCGCATGTCTATATGTACTGATTTCTTTTCGACTACGCGCGCGTGCCACGACGATAGAACGACTTTTACGTTTTAGATAATCCAAGCGTTAATCGTATCACCTTCTCTCACTAGCGAGTGCAGAACACACCATCGAGTTTTTGCGGACTTGATATCCAGTTCCTACGCGAACCGTGATCGAGTTGTCGTTAAGCTCGGCAAATCCTTTCCGATTGTTGCATAAAAATAGAAAGTCGTAATGTTAATCGGAGGAAGCTGCTAACTTCAAATTGTCATCGAACCGTTAAAAAATTGTGCACTTCAATATCCGGAAAAATTGTCATTAATAACCGAATATTCTTAGCTATGTTGAAATCTTGTTGGATTATTTGCGGCAAAAGTCGAGATTGACTTTTGTTGCAAATCGTTAAAACTCTCAGTGACAGTTACATAATAACGCCACAAAAAAAACGTAGGACGCAAGAGTAACGTATATCATGAATAACATTGTTAGACGTCCTACGATCGCATATCAAGGAACTAATTCGACATGAGATGATCTATATCAGTAAATGTCAGGGCCAACAACACTACTATTTTCGAAGAGAGGGACTTGTGAAAGGCGAAACTTGAATACTTCATAACAAATTATACAGAATTCTGTGTACATATGTATTTATTCTGTGTTCATCAGTATACAATATTATGACTGGATAATATTGTACTTAATGGAATTAAAGGGAAATTTACAATAAGACCTATCACTCAAAAAAATGATCTTGCAGTTACAGCGAAAATTATCTAAGTACGAAAAATAGCTGGAATAAATAAATTTCTAACAAGTCCTGCGATATTGAATATGTATTGCATCTAATCATATAGGTGGCAGAGATAGAATTTAAATTTGTGCTATAAATTCTATACGTATGATACATAATTTTCTATCAGATACAAAAAACAACTATAATTCTAGCTGAAGTAGCAAAATATTTTTTTGTGTAATTCGCTCTTTCTTTAACAATAAATATTATTCGAATATTATGAATCCGATACGTTTCTATGTTTCGATATGATATATTAAAGAGAAACGATATTATAAATTTAATAATCACTTTTGTTTAAATTATTACCCAATAACACAAAATTTAAAATTGTCACATAAGACATTTTTAAGTCGCCTTTTAGATGCAAAAAAACGTCTTGACGCGATTTAGACACTTTCCTAATCATTTGAACATCTGAAAAATATTTTATCACATGTATATAAAAAAAAATCTGCTTTTATGATACTAATCTTTAATACGTTTCTACTTTCCCTAATCAAAGCGAGCGGCATTAATTGACGTCGTGTGAATGTCATCTAATTCAATGAAGTTAAAATGATATAATCGAAGCGAGCATATCATTTGATATAGACAACATCCAATGGTTTGAACCAATTGATCCATTACAATAAAATTTTTTTTAAATGATTGTAAAAAATTGACCGATATATTGTTCCCTTTCATCAAACGACATTGGAGTCACCGCGAAATCTTCGGTGAAATGAAACTGTAAATGCAGATATAATGTGAGTCGTTCACGGACGATTATCGCGAGTCTTAATCGTGGATTACCTCGTGGAAGTCATCATTAAACCGTACCATAATCATATCGAGAACCTTGAGGATGCATTTGCATTACATAAGCATCAGAAATAAAAAAATTTTCTCTTTTCATATTCTTTGAAAGAAAATCGTACGTTTATATTTTATGTATTTATATACTGTAAATATATCAATGTAAATATAGGTCAGTTTAATATGTTATGTTACTATTCTAGCTTCAGTTTAAGTTTGTGTTTCAAGTAACCGATGTACAATTTGCTAAACTGAAAATGTATTACAAGAAATATGATTAAACATAAAGAACCATTCTAACCGAATATGACGTTTTCTACATATATTTAATTTCATTGTTCAATTTTCATTTAATATTATAGATAAATATGTATTATCCCGCGTGCACAAATATCTATACTATTGTTTCATTATATAGTAATTATACTTCATTATATTAATATAATTTTATACACACTAAAAAAAAATTTATTAAATTTATGAAATATTTATGAAATATAAACAGTACTAACAAAATATTTATCACAAATGTCACTTCATGTTAGCTTTTTAATTTTATTCTGAAAAATAATAATATAAAAAACGGTAGGTTGCAGTAATAATAAACTGCAAAAGTCGATATAAAATAGGAAGTAATGTTCTTTTTTTTTCAATAATAATACATTATTTATTATAAAGATAATATTTTAATACCTATTTGAACAGTAATTATTCGTATAATTTATACATGTAAGAGTAAGTGAATACAAATATGACGCTACTCACCATTGTTTTCAAACATGGAGTCGACAGTATATTTATAGAATTTTATGTTTGTATACAAATTGTAAAATATATATATGAAAAAATATTGTTCCAACATCTAGCTTCGATCTTAGTTGTGCTTTTGTTATTTAGTTGATTAATAATTTAATTATATAATAATTTAATTTATATATTACATCAAATAAAATTATTAAAATTATGTTGAAAATATCGGGGAATAATCGACACATTATCGATATTAATTAGAGCGTGACGCAGCGAGAAAAATTAGCTAACGAAATAAGAGGCGGGAATATCGATTGGTTTATCGGCCATCTAATATGACGATAGAAAGTTACAAAATGCCGATCCACCGCATAATTTCACAGACGGAACCCATGCGATCCGCGGCGAGGTTTCGTAAACTCAAGTGAAAACATTACGAGTGACCGGTCGGTCGGCCTGCAAAGGCCGTACTCCATTTTACCGAATCGCTGTTCAACCTTGCATTCGGTCAGTTTCAAGGAGATAAACGAGAGTCACGGCATTATATTTTGAGACTCAATGCTGTGCTCTCCATTCTTACATTATAACGTGAAATCTAATGGAAATCAAATAGCGTAATTGTATGGATCTTAAAGATTTATTTATATTTCAATACTTTTCCTTCTTCCGCTTATAATACGCTAATTTATTTATGAAAATTATCACTTCAAAGTGATATAAGACGAATTATAATAGAATTATAATAGAATATTCCTCCATAAGTTTGCACAGTTTATCCTATCCTATCCTATTCATCGATATTTGATTTTTAAATATAATCAAATCAGGGTGGGGCGATATACATATAATAACACTTTCTCTTTTTCAAGATACTACTTGAGCGAGAGTGAATGTCGCGGGACAGAAACGTATTGTTGAGATTGATATTGCATAAGTACGATGCTTCGAATTGCGGTCAATTACACTTGATCCTCCGCACGTCAACAATCTCGTGTTCAACAATTTATGTGTTTACAGGAAATGCGATTTCGGTAGGAAATACTTCAAGCATAGCCAATAAAGAAACTTACGTCTTCTCATTAAACTTTAATAGCTGGTGGTCAAGTATGCGTTGATATTTATGCAGGTTTTGTTTCTTTGCTTTCGTAATAATTTTATTTAAAATTATGAATTCAATTATACATTCACAGAAAGAAATTTAAAAATATTCAAATCTAAAAATATTTTGTTGGATTATCGAAACAATTTCTTATTTCGATAATCCAACAAAAATTATTTTCAGATTTGTATTTGGTCAAATTTTTAAATACTTCAGCAAAATCGATCTTTCCATGTTGATAAAAAACTTATAAGAAGTATCTTAATGAAAATTTTTTTTGAATTATAAAATAATTGGTATATAAGCGTCTCGAGCTGGTATTTATTTTACACTAATGACTTTTGATAGTTGCACTTATGTTTAATACTTACGATTTAAGTGGAACTATCTAAATTTCTATGTAACAGACATGAGTAAACTTAAATTTGTAAGTTACAGATTAATTTTAAAATGTAACGTGTTCAGGGTAGTTACACAAATGTGCGTGACACAGAAGTTGCAGAACTCGATCGTCAAGTTAGTGGTCCAGTGCTGGATTTAAAATGGTTTCGTTGCGAGAGAAAGACTAAATGCGACACGGCGATAGATAAAATAGTCCGTTTTTGCGACTTATTCCGCGATTACAGGCAAGACGGTGGCTAGTGATAAGAACAAGCGCACTCGTCAAATTATTTGACACAGCGCTCCTGTATAATTTCTCTTTCATGGTCCAAATTTATACCTATCCACTACAGTTTTACATAATATCTCACCTTAGAAACTCGACACACCAGTTTTACAAAACTGATCCAATTTTTCGTTAAGACGGGTTACATAATCGTTGTATCAGCTGCCAACTTCTAACAAGATTTGTTCTGTCCATTCAAGAAGTCAAGATATCATTAAGCAGAGAGATTTTCCTGATCGTGTCATACCGATTTTCGAACTGTTTTATTTTTAACAGTTTTATTTTTACATAGCCAACAGAAATGATAATCTTTTGAAACAATTTGATTCAAGCATTACGCTGTTAATGATAAAATTCTATCCGTAATTGATCCGCGGATGGACCAACCGAGCGACGGAGTGCGATTTTTCAGATTCCCGAAAAATCAGAGGCTGCTGGTGGGGAATATTTAGGGAATATAAGGTGCTGTAACGAGACAAGGCGACCTGTACGTACGTACAGGAGTTGAATAGATAGTGAAAGTGAACGGGGGGGTTCCAGTAAGGTATATGAGGGCCTCAGTTCGAGCAATCGCCGGTACTCTAGCCTCGCTGCCTACTTACATTCACATACACTAACACAACCATCGACCGCCGGGAAACACGATGCACACCCTCGCGACGGTATGTATCTGAGTGCATCATCAGTATCATCGTCATCTCATCATTGTTCTCTTCGCATAGTCGCCTCTCGCGGATCTCTGCCTAAAAACGAAATGAAAAACAACCGCTTTGGAATGCGAGCGCCAAGACGAAAATCGCGTGTGATGTGATAGTGGCTGTGGTTAGTGCATAATCCGTATCGTGAGCTTGGAAAATTGACGCTACAAGTCCTGAGGAATTCTGAATTTTCATTTATTTTGGCTTTATCGACCGAGTCTTTATACTGCTCTCTACTTTCCATTCTTTGTGCTTGTTAGCAGGATAAACTGTTTTATGCAATATTTTAAATATATCTAATTATGGCAATAAAAAATCGTGCCACGATTTATTGTAAAAGGTATACAATTTCATGATTGATTTACAGCAATTTAAAAAAGAAATTTTAAGATCGTGATTAAAGAATGCTTACTTTAAACCGCGATGAATTTTTGCATCAATTTATTAACGTTTCATTGTCTTTCTTTTTACTATAAGAATTACATTGCTCGTTGAAATGATTAAATTCACGGTAAGAAGCGAAACGATTGAAAACGGCCGTATTGTAGGCTTGGTCGCGTTGCGCAATTCTTGTGATCCCGTTTCCTACTTTCTTCCACGCCGTGGAAAAATTTATTAAGATTTCACCTATTATGAGTCGGGCGAGACGCATTTATTTTTACAACACGCCTACTGACGCTTATAGAAAGACTATTATATAATTCATCACTATGTTGAGTGCGGTCGCGTGCGATGACCGACGAGAATACGAACAGTTCTTGAGGTCGGTTGTATCAGCATCAGTTAACTGGCATGGTTAATTAACTCCTTGCAACAAAAGTGCGCCATGTAAGACTGTTGTTTCGTTGTTTTCTCCATTTTCCTGTGATGAAAATATTCCGAACTCTCAAAATATTTTTCTGCCATTTTTTCATAAAAAATTGTATACGGAAATAAGTAGGAAGGAAGAAATGCAGTATTTAGCTACATTCCGTAATTTTTAAATTTGTTAAGAACATACGAAAGATAGGAAATTAAACGTAGAAAACAGAGAACACAAAATACGGAAAACGGAGAACGGAAATAAGAATTGTCAATTAATATCGAACTATTCATATACGTATGTTAAATATGCTGTATCAGGAAATAAGAAATTAAATACGGAAAGAACAGTTTTGCTGAAGTAACTAAAAATTTGATTAAATGTGAAAATAATAAAAATAATTTTGTTGAAATTATCAAAATATATAGGCTTAAGCTTGCATATCAAAATTTTTTGTAGTATTAATTACTTCTTTGTAGCATTACTGAATTTCTTACATAATTATTTTGATGATTCAACAAAATTATTTTTAGATATATCTGGCTAAATTTTTATATATTATACATATATTATAATATTTCAACAAAATCGTTCTTTATTAACAAATCGAGATGATGACGTAACATAAGTATAACAGCGTGGCACAATATAATAAGAGGAAATAAATTTCATTAAATACGGAGGTTTAATTATTAGTTAGTATTTTTAATTAGTTTGAATCCGGTTAATTGATGCTGGCTCAAATGCTGTCGAGCATTTCACGCTCGCCTATTTAGAGTTACAGGAAGCATACTATGCAGATTGAATGAATTAATTATTTCTTGTTAATATTAGAATCAGCACGATCGCACACGTATGGAATAGATAAGGGGGCACGCATAGTCACGCGTGAACGATCGCGATTAATAACTTGATTTATCGATTTTCAATATCCGTGTGCGTTCATAGCTTGGTTTCCATGACTTGAGACCCATTTTGCTGACGTGGAATTCGACACCCTTCGAGCTCCGAGCGATCTATTCTCAACCGTATTACAATGTTGTTCGCATCTGGCGGTTAAGGTTCTGCTCTATAGCTTGCTACATAGCCTTAAGTTCACGCACTATCACGCGCTGCTCTCACAACTGCATTTCACGAAATCAACGGTTCATAACTTTGTAACTCTATATGTTCACCCTTACGTCATGCACAAAGGCATTCTCGTTTTACTTTATATCAAGTTTCGACGTTCTTTCCTTCGAGTAAAAACGTAACAAGCATTAAAGAATGGCATAAAAATGGCAACATAAAATTGAGTAAATCTAACGGCATTAAAGCAAGAAGCTATAAAATAACCGCCTTATTACTAATCTGAATCTATTACAATTTTTGTATGCAATTTGTTTTTGTAGTCTTATTATTACATAAATTACAAAAATTAGAAAGTTATTAAATAGCTAGAAAAAAGAAGAATAAATTTAAAATCATGACTTTCCAGCATGTGTATTATTAGCAATGCTAACTAATAATAACATAATTGTTAGTTATAATTTCTTACTCAGCAGTACAACTATAATATAAATTATAACAGTTATATAACACATGACAGTTATATTGTTGAGTAAAAAATTATATCTAAAAATAATATCTAAGTATATTAGTATGTAGTTGATGTTTGCTGAGTTAATTTTAAATTATAACTAAATTAATATATTAATTTAATTTATATAATTAAATTAAAGACAAATGTACAATACGCGAGACATAAGAAAAAATTACAATTAAATGCTATTTCTACGACTAATATATAAGCAATTCCCAATATTAATTGAATGTATGTCGCAAAATGCGATAAACTGACAGTGCTTTCGCGTTTCAGGTAGCAACGGTGCTCACCGCGCTGCTAGCGGTATCGGCACAACAGTACCAGCGACCTGGCGGTAATTATATTGACGATTATGCCCAATACGACTCCCAACAACCTAGCCAGCCGACTCCACGTAGCTACGCGACCGATCCGGACCGTCAATCGGCTGCGCCAGCGAATCCGAAGCCGACGCCGGTGGCAATCCTGAAGCAAATCAATCGACACAACGAAGATGGTTCGTACACGTATGGTTTCGAAGGCGCAGATGGCTCCTTCAAGATTGAGACCAAATTGCCGACCGGCGACGTGAAGGGCAAGTACGGTTTCGTCGATGACACTGGCAAGGTCCGTATAGTCGAATATGGCGCGGATCAGTACGGCTTCCAGCCGGCCGGTGAAGGTATCACCGTGGCCCCACCAACCCTATTCGACGAGACCACCAGCAAGGAGGCCCTCGCAGCGCAGGCCTACGAGGAGCAACAACAGCAGCAGCAGCCACGGCAACTGCCCGCTCGTCCGGCTTATCAACAACAATCACACACCCAGGCTGTATACGCTCCTGCGCAGGTAGCCCCAAGCAGACCCGCGCTCCCCAAACCTCCCATTTTCACCCCGGCTGCCCCAGCACCCCAAGCGCCGCGACAACCCCTGCTGCCGCAGAACTACGAGCCAGCGCCGTCCTCGCAGCTCTACAATCAGGGACCAGCTCAGTTCAGTCCTGCGCCACAACAATCTGATGGCCGTTCCCAGCCGCAGGCCCGCAGCGGCGCGGGTGGTGGTATCCTGGACCAGCTCGCCAGGGACTATGCTCTGCCTCAGGGAGTGGCACCGCCATTGCACGACATCAGCTTCGGCTACTACTAGGCTGTCTAGTCCTGCCCCTTTGCCTACCGAAGAGTAGAAGAGTCTAGGATCAATCGTTCGAGCCTCAACAAAATTTTATGCCGCTCAATTGTAACTCTATGTTGAAACTCTAATGTTTTTCATAGAATAGATTTACGTTATGTCAATGTAGAATTTAATTTTCGTGTATAGAAATTAAGCGCTATGTGTATTATAACTATAATATAGTTATAAGAGTACGATCTACTTACGTTGCAAATGCTTCGAAGCACTTGATTGATCAATCAGAAAAAAGAAGTTTATTAACTAACCAATCAAAGAATGCTTTAAAGAATTGTTGCATCAAGTGGACCGTAACCCAAGTATTATGATTGATCCTAAACTCAATTGCTCGTTTCGGTTACGTGTTGGTCTTGTATTCTATTCGTGAAATGGGACGCGTCGGCGACTGGATAACTTGTCATAATTTTGGCGTGACTCACTCTATCTGAAGTGGACGGCAGTGTGATGATCGCGAATAGATCATATATTGCAATCGGAAGTTGAGAATTATTAGTCTATTGATGTCTAAAATCGCGATAAAATTCTATTCCGTTCACGTAACATGATTTTTTTTCATATTAATTATATTTAATTAACAATTCAAATACGTATCTACACAAGAGAGAGAGAGAGAGAGAGAGAGAGAGAGAGAGAGAGAGACAAAAAATAATACATCTCATACATATATTTCACATTGTTCAAATAGCGATAAACTGTGATAAATTGACAGCAAAATATAAAATAATTTTGATGGAAATATTGATACGTTATAAAAGGATTTTTAGCCTTATCATATTTCTTTTATCTTTAGAAACAAGATAAAAGAATTTTTCAAGAGCTTTCAAAAAGAAATTATTTTTTGAGCAAATAGACGTCAAGGTCTGAGTTTTCGACTTCTTATTTTAATTATTTGTTTTCACGAATATCCATCGAGTTAATATTAGGACATAATATTTGACATTATTTTTTTATCAATCATTAAAATTATTGTTACGCATATCATTATTCGTCAAGGAATTATCCAGATAATAAACGGTACCGATTAGACATAGTAAGAGAGATGTAAAAAGAATGTAAATAAAATTTCTCGTCTTTCCCTTCAGTGGACGTTCGCTTTTACTCCGGAAAATGCAGTTCGCCTTAAGAACCACTCTGGAGTGCTGCGATCAGCTGGAATTTTCACGACGAGATCCCTCGAGAATATTATGTTAATTGGGCGTGCTTATTATTGTAATTAGATTATTGTAAGGTAATTCGAGTGGAATAAAGTGAGGCCAATACTAAATTCCATCGCCTCTATGTAATGGAACGCAAAAAATTTCCGTACAATGCCGGTGTGACGAGATTTCCTGATTTCACCTTTCCAATTATGGTCCTCGTTAGTCATAATAAAGACTTTCAATGTTCATATTTGTTAAACGCACGAAAGAATAGAGTCACACCTTCGCTCGAACATACGCGTAGTAATTCGTGAAATACTCAATATCAAATTACCAGATTGTTCTTCGCATTTATGAACACGATAAGGAAACTTAATTTGTTTCAAAGATTGCATGAAACGATAACAATACACTCAATTGTATCATATTTTTGCAAACAAATATCAAAATCTGACAATGATCGAAATTTTTCTATTTTGTATATAAAAATTATTTCAAGATTCTCCTTATACAAAAAAGTATTTCAATTTTAAATGAATAATATTGCTCCAATCGCAAAATATATATAAAAATTAACTTTTGTAATTTAAAATTTTTTTGTATTTTGTAAAAATAAAATTTTATTTCTATAAGAACATTCCTGATAACGTTTGTTAAAAATTTTTTTAAATTTTATTACTTAGTTTCTCGACGAATTCGTTCAGTGTATTCAAGAATAGTTTAAAAACGCCTGATGTAATGACAACCAAAGTCACACTGTTGCAGAAACGGCTGCATACGACTGCGATCTTATCTTGCCCCTCCTTGACTTCTAAAGATTATGAAATACAAGTAAGTAAACTGGTCCGATTTCTCACAGGTTAAATTTTCGCATCGCATAATGAGTCTGGCCTTTGCCTTCTCTGCTTTTTGATTACCAAAATTGAGTATTCTCACGCCCAGTTTGCGTGCGACAATAATTCATGGTTTCTTCAGAATTTTACCACGACGACAATTTGATACATACTTCTCGAAATATTTATCTCTTTCAGAGACAATCGAATACTATATTGAACAAAGTGGTTTTACTTTCGTTTTCAGAAAGTCTCAAGGTGAGCAAGCCGGCGTTATACTTTTCACTCTTCAAAAGTTTCTCAGCGATTGGTTCAATGCAAAAAATGCGTATGCGCATTATTACGTATTGTAAACTCTTGATAAAACGCGACCTTGCTGGCCCCGCAATTTTCACCACTACTTCCTATAACTTTCGTAACAAATGGTCATAAATAACGCAGCATGTTTATGTGATAGACGTTTCTTTATCGATTACAATTGTTTGTCTATTTATTGTCTATATATTATATTACTACATCTATAGAAAAAATTTATAGTATTATATATATTATTTATAATATTTTATAATTCTTCTATTACCAATATATATATATATGATTGTCTCTTTTATCATAAAATAAGACATAAACATATCATATAATAGAGAAATTTATTCTTAAATGGAAAAAATTCTTAAATCTAAAATAAAATGACATCGCGGTTTTATGCTAAATATTATAGCATCAACATCAAACATTATCGGACAAAGATTTATTCTAATTTAACATAAACTTAAATTTATACATATATGTTATGTTGTCTTGTCTCAAGACAATAAATCAATCTCATCTTTAATTCGAGAAAGAAGAATCAGAATTATTGATCTAATCTTAATATTGTTTTGTTTTTATATTATATAAAGCAGAGAAGATTAATTCTAAAATATTTTTGTCACGTTATCAGAAATCCTTTCTAAGAAAGTAAAATTTGTGCTTTCGTTTCTCTTCAGTTTTTTACGTACCCATAATTTCTGCAAAATTTTTTTTTCTTTTTAACGTATTGAAAGGCACCGCATAATTTTATTTTTGTTTGCATTATTTATGCTGTTATGTCGCACATCTCAAGAGCCGTGATACAGAGCGCATAATAAATATTTTCTTTCCACCGCTCATGATGTCGATCCATAACGTAAAGACCCACGAATTCGCACACCTACTTATCAGCGAAGGGCACTGTACATCAGTATAAGCACCGCGTTCACGGTTACAGGACAAATTGCAATGAGACGTACCTTGGCGTCGCGCCAAACGATCGCGTCATAACGCACCTTTGTGCAAAGTGGGCATTACTTCATGATCGTGTTGACCTTCTCGCTTGTAGAGAAAAGCCGTGCCAAGTGTCGCGTCTAAAGGCGATGTCTAAAGACTCGTCCCCATTTAAGACCCTATAACAGAGTCTGGCCATGATTGATTTTATCAAAGTTTTATGAGAGAGAAAGGTATACATATATATTGTATATAAATTATATATACACACTGTAATATAATACCTGTAAATATAATACTAGTGATTCATAAACTTTAGTTGCGAATAATTTAAAAATTATTATACCCTCGACATTTTTGTATTTTTTTCTAGGAGTATTCCAAAGAATCCGCTTTAAATAGGAAATGCGATGGTTTTTGGACACCTTATATATATATACATATATATTATACATATATGTACTATATCTCACTAAGGAAATAGCACTTATATACATATATCTTTCTCTTTCGTAGGATTTTGATAAAATCGCTTACGATCAGACTTCATTATAAGCTTCTTCTTTTTTTTAAAGAAGAAAAAAAAGAAGAAACCAGTATGTCACGATCGTCTTTAATGGAGATAAACTATAGCATTCACGTAGTACACAGTACATTAGTGCTACATAAAACGTACGTATTAACATTCGCTGCTTAGAAAGCTAAGACGCGTATCGAGATAGCGTCAATTATCATCTTAATCTAATTCTCTTTAGAATCTCAATTATTCTTATCGACTTACTCGTTGATTGTGGACTAGCGATAACGCGCTACTCGGTGACGAGGTAAAACATGACTTGCGCTATAAAATTCGTAATGAAGGAAAATCACGCGTGGCTCGTGAAATTATATGTACACGCTAGTCGTAACGGGCCGTTGACACTTGTCAGCCAGGCCAGTCACGCAAAACATTCTGTCGGATTTCAACATTAGATGCCAGGCAAGCTTCACCTACCTACCGGCTGAATTTATGCTCTCCGTTGGAGTTGCATGAAATCTACGATAACGTTGATGCAAGCAATCGTGACTTTTAATCGAGACACGCTCGGCGAAAATTCGGAGGAATAATTGAAACTTTTCTGTCATGATGTCATCTTTGTTTGATTTATTGAATTGCTCACATATATTAAACTTAAAATTTTCTAAATTTATTAAAAAGTTATGATCTTTTTTTCTTCTTGACTTAAGTCTTTATTTCTTTGAATTTCAAAAATGCTAAATACAATTAAATTGTTTAAATGGCTCGACTAATTTATTGCGAGAATAACGTTTCATAATTCATCAAGATAATTAACACTAAATTACAAAAGCAATCAAAATAAATGTAGTTTACAAGTTTTTATTAAAATTATAACAATGCGTTTTCTGATATTTTTATTTGACCTTTGTAGCAATATGTAAATAGATCAATTTACTTTCCCCCATCTTTGAAAGAGATATAAATATAATGTATTATGAATAATACAAATGGATATATATTAATCGTTGGTAATTTTAATGTTAATAACGGTAAGTTCCGTATAAATGCGTAACGGAGTGATAGTCTCCGAATAAATTTTTACGCAATACAGGAAATAAAACTGATTAAATTACGAGTTGCATGCGAGTTACAAGTGAATAACGAAGATATATGTAACGCTCCTGTAAACACTTAGACCGGATCTGCGAGTGTGAAAATAGGCTCGTGAAAATAACTTTCCCCTTCGAAAGTTTTAAGACGGTCAGCTGAGCGCCATGGAATCCGCTCGCGATCGCGTTAAGATGTATAGCAACAGTAATAATGAACTGTATATCAACTCAATACAATTCTCTTCTCACATTATATAAAAATATAATCTAAATATATTATATTACGCGATTATGTACAATATATTCATAATTAATAAATAGAAACCGACCGAGTTAATGTAACAACATAATATAGAGAGCGCCTATGGATCGGTCAAAGTTGGAAGTTACGAATAATATAATATTCTAAGTTCATGAATTTAATTAATCTCAAATATGACTGTGTTCCGAAACGTTCAGACGTTAATAATTGTATATTCATAATTGTTAGAGATACCAGAAAAAAATTATTTCTATTATTTTTTTCTGGTACCTCTAATTTCTTTTTTACACTTTCTTAAATCCACGTATCTTGTCTTTTTATATTTAGATTTCACTAATGTATAAAGTGTTTCCTAATTTTATATTTAAGATTCTTCGCGTAGAAATGTAACATAATATTATAAATATAATAATATATCAAAAAGAGTATATTTAAAATCTCAAAAATCTCTTTAAAAAAAATTGAACAATTCTGTTGTTTACATAATACAACAATATTTTATATTATTAGTTATTAA